AATGTAACGATCTTAAAAGATAAGAGAATCCCAGAATGGGTTAGTGATCAAATGAAAACCTGGTCCAAGGCAAAGACATTGTTTGAAAGTGAAGACATGTGGGTGGAAGTGGGATTGGGAATTGTACAGGCGGCCTTGAAGGTTTTCTCAAGGATGAAAGTGACAAACCTTAACTGGAAAGAAAGGTCCTTCATCAGAGAAATCGAAGAGGCTAAGGATAAGATGGGGAAAGACCAGTTCTTGAATTACTACTGGTCCGCAAAGAGGAAAGAAAGCCTAGTCAAGATGAAGGCCTTAAAACCCCAAAAACAGAACCAGTGGCTTGAATGGCTCAAGGTTAGGGGCATGGTGGGCTATGATCGAATGACCAAGATGACTTTCAGATCCCTTATACTGAGACAAACTAGACCACCCATTAGGGAGATGCTCCACCCTTTCGATTGGAATGCCCCAGTGGCAACAACCACGGAACAAATCATGATGTGTGGTTACGCAATGGAATACTTTGAGGACATTGTCTCTACACGAAGATCCTTTGATTCTTTAGATTTTGATATGTCCGAAAGTTCGGACTTTTGGGCATGTTCTCACTCGAGGATATCTTCTACGGACTATGCAAATCTAGAGCAACCTTTGACAACGAACGAACTTTGGAAGGCAGCGAAGCAGATGGCCCTTGGGAAGTGCCCAGGTTTGGATGGTATGCCAATAGAACTCTTCTTATGTACCTCGGAAGCCGTTGCCCCCTTCCTGGTGGCCACCTATAACAGGGCCTTGGAAACTGGATCACTTCCAAAGACCGTAACTCAAGGAGTTATCTCCTTGCTGTATAAAAAAGGTGAAAAACAGGAGGTAAGAAATTACATACCAATATATGTTTTGAACATGGTGTATAAACTTCTTGTAAAGGCTTTAGCACTCCGTCTCGCCGACCTCCTCCCGAATTTGATTGGTTGGGAACAAGGGGCGTTCGTTAAAGGAATGTCGATCTTTGATAACATCCTAACAACGATTCAAGTCCTGGAGGTAATCAGTAAAGAAAAAAGGGAAGTTGAAGTCTTATTACTTGACATGGAAAAAGCCTATGACAAAGTAGGGTGGCCATTTGTTTTTACCACCCTGAAGAAACTGGGCTTTGGACAGGGCTTTTGTAGGTGGGTGAAGGTAATGCACGCAGAGGTCTCCTCCATGGTCATAGTAAATGGAAAACTCTCAAGGGAGCTTACTTTGTCTCGGTCACTTCGCCAAGGATGCTCTTTGGTCCCCTTATAATTTGTGATCCAACTGAATACGTTGCTACTAAACTTAAGGACTAATACTAAAATTAAAGGTCTCTCTATTTCCCGCTCCCTTGAGTGGAAGGGAGGGACACTAGCTGATGATCTGACAGTTGCTGTAGAGAATACTCCTATAGTGATGCATGAACTACGTGTGGTTTTGGATGAGTATTGCCTTTTATCGGAAGCCTCAATAAATTGGGATAAGTCAGGTTACTTTCTCCTTTCCCCCTATCAGGTCTGTGTGGATTGGGGGCTAAGACAAGTTCCTTCAGGCAGGTCTGAACGTTTCTTGGGTGTTCAAGTGACCCTGTCTAGCAGTGGTGCAGTGCATGATTCTCTCCTTGGTGATAAAGTAGCTGCAAGAATCAGTGCGTGGGTCCGCAACTTCAAACTGTCCTTGTTTGGGAGGACCATGGTTTTATCGACAACAGCCTTCTCTATCTTATGGTTCCCTCTAACGATCCACCTGCTGGGGGAGGAGACCTACACAAAGATCAGGAGAGCAGGTTCCAAATACTTGTGGAAGCCCACTATTGGAGAAGACGAGAGCTTCATATCAAAGGTGGAGTGGGATGCTGTTATATTGCCCCAGGCGCAAGGTGGTTTGGGGATCTTAGATCCCAAACGCCAGATTATAGCTTTATGGGCTAAATAGCCAGTCCAAGGTATGATGGAGGATGCTATCAAAATGTGGATGTGTTTTGCTGAGTACATACTACAAAAGGAATGGGATTTGTCACAGGGCTCACATGTTTGGCTCTGCATGTTAATGCAATCCTATACTTCAAACGTCTTAAGTCTAGAACTTGGCGAAACATTTTATTTGCATGGAACAAATTGCAGCCTCACTTATTGAGAGAACCGAACACGCCTTTGGAGGTCTGCAATCAACTCCTGTTTGATAATATATTTATCAACAAGATAATGAGACAGTTTTCTCAGCAGATGGGTTTGCGGGCTCCTTTGGGCAAGCGTGGATCAAGAAAGGAATTTTGCAGATCAAGGATCTATGGGATTTTGAGCAAGGTTGCTGGTTATCAACGCAGGACATCAGAATCAAGCTCCCAAGACTACGATCGGTAGAAGCTAACGTAGTTAAGATTATTAGTGCAGTCCCCATACACCGGACCGCCCTGCTGAAGAAGGCACAACCTAGTAACAAGGACACCTGGCTCAGATCCCCGGATGGATCCAGAGTATGGAGAGTGGAGGGCCAGGAAGGTACAGTGGGCTTCAGAGTCCAAACCTGGATTGAAGGAATCAGTGGGTGAGGTCTGGGAATCTTACGACCGGAAGGTGAAAGAGTGGTACAGGAGCTGGAAGACCTCACCAAATTGAGAGCGCTGATACAGAAAGGCACGAAGAAGTCGCCCGCGGCCACATTGTTGGGTGAAGCCGAGAAGTTTAAAGTTGAACCTCTTATGTACGGATGGGACAAGAATCAGACCCAGCTACTTAAGGACACTGCGCTGATTAAATATAAACCTAGAACAGGAGTGGCAGTACAACGAGCCTTGGTTGCTGATCCACCAACTGTAAAAGCAACACGGAGAAATCTCAAAAATCAAGACGGGAGAGGACTAATGCCCCAATGGGACAAACTGTGGAAGACACTGAAGAAGCTCCCTTCTCAGAAGCAGGCCAGCCTGATTTGGCAGCAAGCTCTGCAGGTGCTTCCGGTGGCTACATGGTTGTCAAGAAAAGGGATGCACGTCTCTGAAACCTGCAAGAGATGCGGCCTAGAAAGAGAAACCTCACAGCACCTTTGGTTACTCTGTCCGTGATCTACCTTAGTATGGGAATGGTGGAAGTCCCTTTGGAAGAATATGGAAGAAAGCTCAGTTGAATGGACGGAGGACTGGATCTTATACAGCTCAGCTGCCCCGACGACAGGATACACGGTGGGCTGGGGCTATGTAGCCCTTGTCTGCAGGGGAGTTATCATGGAGGCCATCTGGGCAGCAAGGAATGTGAAGGTGTTCTGCAACACAGACACAGCGATTCATATGCAGAAGCATCAAATACGAAAGAACATTCGACTGGCTATTCGAGCGGATTGGGACAGAAGTAGACTTTCTAAAGGCAAGGGCTGTAGTTGGTTTGATAGAACTTGGGCGATAGGGAGTAAGTTGGTCACGATTACAAGGGAAGGCAAACTGAAGTTTGGACCGTGGCTCCTTGGGGGTGAGGTAGGGAGTTAGATAGCCACCGGCTGAGATAGCTCCTTGGGGGTGAGGTAGGGAGTTAGATAGACACCGGCTGAGATAGGGTTGAATTGGGCCCGACTTGTACTTTAGGTGTCACCTCTCCTTTCCGAATAAGTGAGCCTGGAAACTGGAAGTGGAATGCATCAGGAATAAAGCCTCCTCGTGAACTGAGCTTTAGCATTTCGACTCTCTGTCCCCTAGGCTCCTAAAGCCATCCTTTACCTGTGCCTTTACATATGTGTTTAAATGTTTACTTTCAAGTACGTCAAGAGCAGTATGAAATAGGAAAAGGGATTTACACTGACTGCAAAGGCAGTTCCTTTTTTACCAGTGCTTCAAGGTTTTACTTTTTGGGAAGTTACTGGAAGGCAAGGGACGCCGGACCCGGTTTCCAGCAGGTGATTGGATAGTTTGATACAGCTGGTGGCTCTGCGAGCTTGCTCGTAAGCGAAACTGGCTGATGCTGCCAGGATAACTCCGGGTAGAATTGTGAGGTCCCCGGCCTCGTCCTATTGCATATGTAATGAATGATTGAATCTTTCCAAAAAAAATTAAAAAAATAAAATAAAATCCGCCTGATTTCCCTGGGCGGCGCTGCACTCCCGCCGCAATTTTTCGGCAACACTAATCCCCTGTCGGGAAGGTGATCAGTGAGGATCAGTGAATTTGTAGGGTTGCGTGGAACGCTGAAAATCTGTAGTGGTGTCTACCGAGGCCTTATGAGGCGACGTGGTGTGCCTTGCGAGTGCAACTTCCACGCAGGAACTTCCGGCAAGTGAGTGAGACTTCGGTCGATGGCTCGTTCTCTGCCCGGGACCTCCCTGTTGCCCGCTGTTTTCCTTGTTTTCAAAGTTTGAATTGAATTGATCTTTCCCGCGCTCGTTCCATCCCACCGGAAATCCGTTCAGCTGCTGCAGAGGGATGTTGTGCACAACCGCAGCGCCTTTGCCCCGCGGTCGCTAGAGCTGTGTGCATTAAATATCCGCAACCCCGAGTTCCGGGGTCTGCAGCGGCTGGATTGGGTCCGGCTGCACAGCTCCACGTCGGCTGTTTCCCGAGTGCCAGTGTCTGCCTTTTGCTCGGAAGTCCTTTTCTCGCGCTGAGTCAGGTTCGGCCTTGCCTCGGCTGTGGCTCAGAAGGCCGTGGTCGTCCAGTCATCATCGTCAGGTAGCACTGCGTTGACGCCTCCCCCATCAAGCATACACGCAACTCACAAGGTACAGGCGCGCGCGCGCGCGCACAAACACACTGTCTGCGTGTGTGCCTCTGTGTGTGTGTGTGTGTGTGTGAGAGAGAGAGAGAGAGAGAGAGAGAGAGAGAGAGAGAGAGAGAGAGAGAGAGAGAGAGAGAGAGAGAGA